TAAAGGCCTTAATATGAAGCTTGTCACATGTTTAGAACAAATTGGATTATGCACTTTCACCGCAGCAGCTCAGTCTGTGTCCTCCGCTATATTTTCAGATGTGCTCGTATCAAACTACTGTATATCGATATACAAGTGGTATTGCCTCATATCGAATCGCTTATAAAGAAAATATCGATATATCGATAATGGTTAGAGAGTCGGACTCGTAACCCAAGGTTGCGGGTTCGAGTCTTGTACCGGCAGGGATTGTAGGTGGGGGGAGTGAATGTACAGCGCTCTCTTCCACCTTCAATACCACGACTGAGGTGCCCTTGAGCAAGGCACCGAACCCCCAACTGCCCTCCGGGCGCCACAGCAAAAAAAATGGCTGCCCACTGCTCCGGGTGTTTGTTCACGGTGTGTGTGTGTGTTCACTGCTGTGTGTGTGCACTTTGGATGGGATAAATGCGGAGCACTAATTCCGAGTATGGGTCACCACTTTTATATACTCACTGTTTTTCTGTTCTGCTTTTGAAGAGGAGCCTTGCTGTTCCTGAGCTTTCATCATGTGAACCCCTTTACAAATCTCCTGAAATGACCTCTGAAAAACAAGTTTTTAGATGATGTGGTGTGGTTTGAGTACTGTTGTACTAAACAAAAAAATATGTTAAACATCAGTGCACAGGAAAACAGCATTCGGGAGAGAGAAAATAATCAGTTATATATTAATAATTTTGTCTTTGTTGAAGGGTTTTAGCACTTTCAAGTACCTAATAACACCCTACTGTAATAAACATGCTAAATGAAAAATTAGCATAAAGCAGAAAGGTTCTTACATAAAAAAAAAAACTATATAAAATATATACAACTATATACAAAAAACATATATATTTTGGAAATACTGTTATTGAGTGCAAGTTCTGGAATGTGTATGTGCATGCTGAGAAGGATAATTACCGGTTTGCTTTCGCTCTCTTCCTTTCTGGTATTTCCGTTGATCCTGCTCCCACTGTTTGCTGTGTTTGCATTTCCATTACTGTCACTAGAGGACGCTATGCTCAGCAGGTGCTCATGAGAACCATTGCTGCCATGACTGCCATAACCACTGGACCCCATACTGTGGACTGGCTACAAGACAGAAACTTACACAATCTATTCCATTGTTGAAAAAGACTTTAAACTGAAACTAGCAACTAGCTATGGCAACAGTCAGACACATCAACTACAAATTCCACATTATGCTACAGAGTGTTTGTGGAGAATGTGAGGCCATCTGTGGAACTTTAAACCTGATCAAATTTACACTGCTAAAAAATGCACTACTTTTACATCCTCCAGTCTGCATGTGTTTTTGTGTCTGCAAAATACGGAGATTTCACCTGTAGAAGCAGTCTGTGAACCTGTTCAGTAATTTCCTGTATATCTGAATCCATGATCTTTTCCTCTGTAAAAGCCGGAGCTGAAAACACATCCTCATTCATTGGACCCCTGCACGTAGACACAGAAACCATACATCAAAAAGGTTTATCACAAAAGAAAAATGTGTATTATATCTACCTTTATCTAAATTAAATCAAAAACCGTTAGGAATATATACAGAAGGTGAAAACTCACATGCGAACTTTGTGTCGTCCAATAACAAAGGACACCTTGCGGCTCCATGGGTTTACAAAGCTACACCAGCTTGTGTCTAGAGTAACATATTCTCCATTTCTCACACAGAATCGGATCGAGGAGTGATCAAATGGCTGCCCAACATACTGCAGAACTGTAGCAGAGAGGGAGACATTTAGGAAAGCAAGGACAATACTGGATGTGATTGGCTGAGGGTAGCATAATGCGAGTTATAGGTTTCAGTTTTAGTTTGTCTTTATTAGTAGTAGATAATGATACTCAACTTTACCTATTCTTGAAATTTACTTTATATTGAATTTGTGCTACACGACATGACAAAAATTGTGTAAAAAGGAGGATTCGTCTGAGTGTCAGGCACCCCCTGATGGAACACCAGGATTAGAACATTTTAACAAAATAAACACTTCTCATGAATTGTGTTTGTGTATGAATTTGTATCCTTACTTTTCCGGTGCACATCCAGCATTACAGGTCTGTCACTGGGATGCAGGTGTAACAGAAGAGGTGTCCCAATCAAGTCCTGAGGCAGAAATCCTAACAGAGGCACTGCCCTGCAAAGTATGCAAGTATTAATATGCTTTTAGATTATATTATTCAGTTTCAGTTTGTCTTTACTTCCCAAAATAAATTTGGTTGCAGCGTTTAGACAAAGCTGAGGGGATAAAAGATTGTCTAAGTAGATTTGTTCTAATAACAGATATATTCCAAACTGAATGCCAGAGGGAAAGGTTTGAAACTCCTGGTGCACTAGGTAGCTATTATCTGACATTATACTTAGGGCTTTTCACAACACCTGCCTTTGGTTTATCTTGGCCAAGCTTATCCGTTCCTTCTCATTTACATTTAGTCATTTAGCAGACGCTTTTATCTAAAAATGATGACATTTATTTTACTACCCTCATTTTCAAAACTTTCAAGAGTTCTTATCCTTGACATTTATGGTAGGATACCAATACAGCAAGGAAAAAGACTCAATTGATTCAATATAAGACTTGTAAAACATAAACAAACTTTAGTGCTTTATCCACATTAAATGACTCTTAAATTTGCTCAAATAGTGCACACTTTAATGTCCGGTTAGATGTTCAGTATTTGGAGAAAAAAAAAAAAAAAGTATTTTTAGTCTTTAAAATGCATCCTCACACCATCTTGCAAAGTCATCAACAAAGTTGTCAACCACAGACCAGAGTATTTTTTAGCCAAATTAAAATATGTAACGGCAAATTTCCATTTCCATTTAAACATTTAGCAGCAGACACTTATCCAAAGCAACTTACAAATGAGGACAAGAAGCTTAAAATAATTACTGCCTTATTGATGTAACCAAACAGTGTTTAATCAATCCTGTAGAGGATGATGCATAATACAGTATTTGCAGGTGACGACAACTAACCACAGTCTGGTATTTTCTTCAGTCATAGTTAACACTGCTCACAGACACAAACCTTTCATCAATATCTTGAAACACACAGTTTGGCGTGTGTGTTGTGGTGAAGATTCTCTTATCAGGTGGAATTCTTGGCGCTGCAAATTCGAAAAAAAAAAAATCAAAAGACAACCTAATTAGTTATCATAATAGCTTAAAAGCTAAACACTTGAGGGCAATAGCATCTGTGTGATTACCTTCATATCCAGAGTGAACTCTCTCAGCTAAAATGAGGCAGCAGAAATGTTCCTCAGAGAGCTCTGAATCTTGAACCTTCATTAAATATGGGGCCATCCTGAATGGATAGTACTGCAGATCTCCTTCCTTCTCTTTACCACCACTACACAAACAAACAAACAAAAAAGCACATTTTAAAGATAATTTCAAACCTAGTATTGCATCACCAGTTTGACTAACAGCATAGCCAGATAGCAAGATATTGTCGGCCCAGATCCGGCCCACATCTGGCACATGTGGGATGATGATCTGGCCCACATGTAGCGTAGAATGATGGCACTTGGGCGGACCGCTCCTGTTTGCCAGATCTGGGCCAAAAGCAGGCCATAGCAATGCCACATGTCAGCCAAGAGCAAAGAAATAAACAACACTGGACCTTATCTGAGCCACAAAATCTTCATATATTATTTATAGAGTCCTCTCAGCTTGTCTAAGCTTGTTAACAAGCAAAATCACTGAAGGAAAGAAGAGAACAGAAAAAAAAAAAGAGACAAACAGAAACTCAAGAACTACAACTGACTTAAGCCACAGTCTTAGATGAATTCAGCTGAAGATAAAAGACATTAAATCTCTGAAGAGCTCAGCAGAGGAGGATTAAACAAATCCACAAACAGCATTACCAGCTTCACTTATTACTAATCAGAATTACTTTATTTCTGTTAGAGGTCTACAGAAGTTCTTATTGAGAATTAACAGGGGTTGAAATCTAACGTTTGTTTCATTTGAAGTCACCATATTGGTGATTAGTATTTCCATTAGTTGGGCTTTTTAACTCTTATAACAGTTAGTTTGTTTTCGCTGGCTGTTGTGACGGTGTGTTTATCAAACACATTTGTAGTAGCAAATAAAGACAAAATGAGATTAGGTGATGATAGTCAGTTGTTGATGATTCATCATCATAATGAAATAGCCTGATTCACTAATGTCATTTGACAAATGATTGTGTTGTACCAATAATGCATTTGCTGTATAAAACTGCAGTGTGAGACCCGGTCCACACAAACGTGGTTCTTTTTAAAACCGCAGCTTTTTCTACGCGGTTAGGCCGTTCGTCCACACGCAAATGCAGCACCAGTTCACAGAAACCGAACATTTTTGAAAACGCCTGCCAGGGTGAAGATGTTCAAAAACTCCGGTTGCAGTGTTCTCGTGTAGACAGCGAAACCGGAGTTTTTGGCTTGTGACATCTGAGCCTGTGCTGTTATCTCCGCCTACTGGAGACTTTTTCAGGCTTCTGATTGGCCAACATGGCTTTACGGTTGAGATTATATTGCCACCTGTTGGTTTGGCATGCTCTTGACAGTGCTTCATAGCATGCGTTTGCGTTTTCATGTGGACGGAGATTTTTTTTTAAACGGAAGAAGGAAAAACTAAATTTATAAAAATACCCATGTACGTGTGGACATGGCCTAAGATCAACAGTATTGCAGAACCAGTTAAAAGATTTTTTTTTTTAAAAAGCACAAAAATTAGACTCCAATAACGCACAAAGTCATCATAAATCAACACATGAACCTCAACAATGGTGACAATAAAAATTGTAATGTTGCCATGCATGATGGGTACCATATTACAAAACTCCCAGCATGCATCACAGCATGAATAAATTATGCAGCTGAATTGTCCTATTATTTTCTTTAATTCTAACTTTGGCTCATGCATTTATTTTGTATTGTTTTTGCTGTGTCTTTTAGTAGCTTTTTGTGATGTCCAGAATTGATCCGATTAGCTGAATATTTTGTCACCATTGTTGAGATTCATATGCTGATTGCGGATATCTGTTTGTGTCAGTGCTGTTTACCTTTTATTATATCTTCAAACTGATGTTGCAACTCACATTGCAGTAACACAGGGTTTGTAATGTAAAATCATTAAATTACACAACTTCAAGACTCAAATTGATTTCAGTGAATCAGACCATTACACATTAATTGTGAAACCATCAATAGCAAACTATCATGTACTGCAAATGTGTCAAACACACTGTCACAGCAGCGAAAAAAGACAAATGATTAATAATAAGAGTTAAGAGCCCAACTAATGGAAACTCCAATCACTATTATGGTGACTTGAAATGAAATGAAACAAACATTAGATTTAAACCCCTGTTAATTCTCAACAAGAACTTCTGTAGACCTCTAACAGAAATAAAGTCAATCTGATTAGTAATAAGTGAAGCTGGTAATGCTGTTTGTGGAGTTGTTTAATCCTCCTCTGCCGAGATCTTCAGAGATTTAATGTCTATTATCTTCAGTTGATTTCATCTGAGGCTGTGGCTTCAGTCAGTTGTTGTTGTTGTGTTTCTGTCCGTCTCTTTTTTTTTTTTTGTTCTCTTCTTTCCCTCAGTGATTTTGCTTGTTGTCAAGCTGAGAGGACTCTATAAATAATATATGAAGATTTTGGGGCTCAGATAAGGTCCAGTGTGGTTCATTTATTTGCTCTTGGCTGACATGTGGCATTGCTATGGCCCAGATCTGGCAAATAGGAGCAGTTCATTTGTGCCATCAAGTGCCATCATTCTACGCTGCATGTGGGCCAGATCATCATTCCACATGTGCCAGATGTGGGCCGGATCGGGGCCGACAATATGTTGCTATCTGGGTAACGACTTGAACTGCTAATGAACTTAGCCCAATTAAATATGAATCATTTGATTGACATGTAAACAACAACAGTTTTTTCACATGACATTTAGGGGCTCCAGATATCCAGTTGACTAGTTATTAAGTACTTAAAAGAAAACCAAAAAAATCTTTAAAAGATTTGAAAGTCAAGACAGAAGTAACATACTAGCCAGTCAATCATACTGAAATGTTATTGTCCAACTAGAGTGTACAATATGCATCAGACAGTCAACAGCCAGTGACTATTTCAAACCTACCACACTATGCCTATGCATGTAAGATAGCAACAAAATAAATGGCAGTGTGAAATGATACTATTGCACTTACAGTTATGAACAGTTAACATACATTTGTGGCCGGATCGGGGCCGACAATATGTTGCTATCTGGGTAACGACTTGAACTGCTAATGAACTTAGCCCAATTAAATATGAATCATTTGATTGACATGTAAACAACAACAGTTTTTTCACATGACATTTAGGGGCTCCAGATATCCAGTTGACTAGTTATTAAGTACTTAAAAGAAAACCAAAAAAATCTTTAAAAGATTTGAAAGTCAAGACAGAAGTAACATACTAGCCAGTCAATCATACTGAAATGTTATTGTCCAACTAGAGTGTACAATATGCATCAGACAGTCAACAGCCAGTGACTATTTCAAACCTACCACACTATGCCTATGCATGTAAGATAGCAACAAAATAAATGGCAGTGTGAAATGATACTATTGCACTTACAGTTATGAACAGTTAACATACATTTGTGTAATAGTAACATAAATTTGTAGGGATGCACCGAATGTTCGGCAACCGAAATTATTAATAAGCGAAATGACCAAATAAATTGTACCGAACAATGACGTTACGCTATCAAATAGCAACCAGCGTAAAGTGAGTGCACTCGCGCACTCTTTATAATGTAACAAACATGTCAGCAGTGTGGAAGCACTGAGAAAGATGCAAAAATCATTACAACCGACAGCGAGAGACTGTTTAGTACTGCTTCGCATGTCTTCGATAAGAGGAAGGGGTGATTGTTGCTGGTTTACTGTATGATGATTGAAATCGCGAAATGGCCTTAAACAATTAGTAAATAAACTGCAGAACGTTATGTTTTCTAATACACACAAATCTGCTGTCAACAAAAAGAAGCATTGAGGTCTTCCTGCGCGTTTTCGCCAAAATAAAAGTTGACAAAAAGCAAGAACTCCAACATTCATACATTTTTAGTATTGTAATTTCACTCTTATGTAAAATAAGATAAAAAGTAAGACAATAATAATGATAATAATTACAACAGCTCTGTTAATACATTTATTATAACATACACACATAGTGTTCAAATTGGGATCTGTAATATTTTCTAATGTTTTAAAAGAAGTCTCTTCTGCTCAACAGCATGCCTGATTCAAGAAGGGGGTCTGATCGCCAAAAAAATATTATTTTAGTAACTTATTAATTTTAAGTTAAATTGTGCTTTGTTGGTATAATGTCTGCTAGAATGTTAAAAAATGTTTAGTGTTAAATATTTTTTAAATTGTTGTTTTGTAATTGATTTTTTTATTTTATTTTTAAAAACAAGACAAAACAGTAAAAAGCACATTTTGCCTATTTAACTTGTGCATTGGTGAAAAAAATGGTCAAAATACATGGTGGAAAAAAACTTGAAAAACCGTGTTCGGTATTCGGCCTTCAGCCCACTGTTTCATTTTTGTTAGGTTTTGGCTTCGCCCAAGAATTTTCATTTCGGTGCATCCCTATAAATTTGTATAATAGTGCTTGATTCAAGTCTGTCTGACCTGATTCGACAGAAGAAGGATTTCTCCTGCATGAACTCAGTCGATGATGACTCTGAAAAACAGCGAAAGAGATGAATGTGACCAAAATGAATGCAAGATGTAGAGAGATTAGTAGAGTAAATAAATGAGGAAACCTCCCTCAACCTGTTTCCCCATAAACAAAACCGTAATAATCACTTTAATGTAGCTTGCGCTCACTGTTGTACACTGGAAGCAGTTCTGGGCGGATGACGTATGAGGTCAGCGCTGCGCTGCGCATGCGCCGCTCAGAAGTGACGCATGCGGAAATGCAGCGGAGAGATCAAAACAAAACAACAGTCACTAATTAGAAGTACAAAACAAGGATTTGTAAAGAAATAAATATAACTTTATTTAACTACAACCACGAGTGCCATCTGTTATTGTCTTGTTTATCTAAAAGTGCACTTTTCCTTGTTTTAAATCTTGCCAAAAAGCCATGTGTTGACTGTTGACTGTGAAACAGTAGACTTTAATTATATGCATTTATGGTGTAATTACTAAATTTCCGTGTCAATCCATGTTAATTTTTACCGC